TAGTACCAAGTCTCAGAGAGCCAGGAGAAAGAAAGGCTGAAGCTGCAGCACAGAAACTAATAATTTGCCAAGGAACAACTCATGCACCAGGCCTGTTCTCCTTCTGGAGATCATGTAGAATGCTATAATGCCAATCTTCTGCTCTACAATCAGCAGCAAAATGCTAGGCAGGCAACACCAAAAATGGGCTTCTTTATGAATTGCCCAGACTCCCAGTCAATATCCCCCCAACTCCAGGACAGTTCCAGCTCTAATCAGAAATCTTCAAACCTGATCAGATTCCACTTCCCTCCCCCAACAAGCCTACCCCATACCCTCTCCCCACAAGACACATTCTGAGTCAGAATAGGAAAACAGACAACAATAACCATGTAAAAATGAATCTACCTGGAATGACTCTATACTCAATGAAAGTAGAACAGACAGGGTGAGGAGAGGATTAAACTGCCAGAAATGATCAAGTAAAGTGAGGAAGCAGATGCTGCCTTATTTTCAGGTAAGCATCAGTGTATAAAAATGGGAGAAGAGGTTAAGTATCTAATCCTTATAGCCCAATCCTCAGTCCCCCATATTTTGACAAGCCAACAAAGGGAAAAAAAAATGATTTTGCAAAGCTGGTAATCAAATCTTTGTGCAGGCTGATGACTTTTGGGCAGTTACTTCAAGATGAGTTTGGTAAAACCAGAAAAAATAGAGAATAAGACTCCATATCCCAAAGCAGGAGTTGAAGCTTAGAAATATATCAGAGTCAAATAGACCCTCCAGATGAGAAGTGGCCCACACTATCCCAAACCAGTAGTCCCTTCCCCTGTAAGAAATGTCAGTACCCCAAATCTGTACATTCACAGCCACCTACCCAAATGTTTCTGCACAATAAGCCATAGACAAATCAAACCAAAAGGGAGAGATCTATCACTCACCTTTGTCCTGTTCCATCAAATGTCACATGCAGGCTCCTGGAGGAGTCAGCAGGACAAATGCTAAGGCTTAACATGCCACCTGACCCCACCCTTAGGGCCTGACCTTCTACTACCACCCCACACTTAAGGCATTGCTGACAGCTTGCTACTTCTTCGTTACATGATGACTTGAGGCATGCACATCCTTCTAGTTTATAAAAGTGAGGTCTAGAAGGACTAAGGGAAAAAGATGGAGAAGGATGTACATGGTGGATGAGGTAAAGACGAGGTCACAGGCATGCATGGGGATGACACAGGGATGGCACTAACATGTGGATGACACACACACACACACACCCACCCTCTGCACTTACTGGACTAGGAATGGCATCAGGGTCTATTCTGTGCCTGGTTTTCTGCTGAGGAGGCAGCTCATTGAGTTGCTTTTAGTGTTTTAATAATAAAGGCAGCAGGGGAATACAAGGAGGGAGACAAAAGAACAAGAAGCAGATGTTACTACTCTCAACCCTGATGAGTTAGACATGAACAGCTGGAGCCCAGCTCATACTGCTGAAATCAGGCTCCTTCTAGATCAAAAATTCTAAATCTTTCTGGCCCAACATAGAGGCCTTTATGGCTCAGACTATAATATAGAAAAATAAGGAGAGGGGCATATAGAAAGCAAGCAGGGGTTATACAGGGAGGGGCTGAATGGGAGAATTCTTAAGGAAGAGGGCTGTACCCTCTTAAAGGTCACTCCTCCCATCTAAGAACTATGCTTATGCTGAAAGAAGCCTCCCCTCACATCCAACCAGACTCTCCTCACTGAAGGAGGGGAAAGGAAGGAGGGGCTGCTTAATCCTTTCAGGTCCCCCTTAGCCAACAAAGTCCCTCACCCTGGTAGTTACCCAAAGGAATAGGGAAGAGAACAGAATGAAATATGACAATGGCTAAGCGTGGTGAGATAACTGACAAAGCAAATGTTGCAGACGGCACTATAGAGTGGCCCTCAGTTGGGAGTGCAGTCCCAGCCTCTATTCCAAGTATAAGAAGGAAGGCCTGAGGATTCTAATGTCTCTAAGGGTGAGATTCACCCTCTTCCTGGGAGAAGCAGCTTCCCCAAACTGCCCTTTCAAGCTGTAGATCACTCTTCCCCATCCACACAGTGGGAGCCTAGCAAACAAAAGTACTAAAGACTTCTTCCTAAAACATTGTCCAAGTAGGGCAAGGAAAACCGGTGAGGCTTTCCTTCTCTTAACACCTAACACCAGAGAATTCCCACCAGCTCACCCATTAAGACAACTGCTGTCCTACTAGATCTAAGAGGATAAGACCTGGACCCAGCCACTACTCCACAGAAGGGCTGAGGTTACCATGCTATGCCCAATAGTTGACAAAATGCAGCACTCAACCCAGAGCTCTACTGACATTGCTGATCACTCTTGGCTTCCTTTTCTTTCCTGCCCAGCTATGGAGTGAAAGTGCCCCAAAAGACTTCTGGAGCCTCAAGTTCCAGTTCAAATAGTCAAAAATTACATTTAGGTTCTACACCTATAAGATGAATGAAAAGGGAACATCAGAAAATGCTAAGCAAACATCTCATCTAGGCTGATTCACTTATTTGGCAGTCACAAACTCCTTCCCCAAGACCATATAAGTATCTACTTACAGGGCTCGGGATGGCATCAGGATCCAGGCGCTTAGGAGGCAGTGGTTGAGGAGGCCCAGGCTGACTGCCAAAAGTGGGTGCTACTGGGTAGGGACTTCCATAATTGGGCTGAGGGCCCCGGGCTGGTCCAAAGGAACCTGAGAGACAAGGACACAAGGTTGATGAACTCAAAATGCCTTCCCTATTTCTTCTTATGGCCTCAGAGAAATGACTAGACTCCTATAAATGTAGGATTACGAGGCAGGGTAATGACTACTCAAAGAAAGACAACACTACCTGAACTATGGGAATAAAGAATGTCTTACAAACCCTACATCCTAGTAATAATACTCCGAAGCTCTCCATCTAGTTCACCACTTAGCAAGCAATACCATAAGCAAAAAAAAACCAAAACAACAAAAAAACATCTGAATAGCTGAAGTCTTTGGCTCCTAGATAGGCCTTGGGGAAAACTCACCATTTTGTTGCAGCTGATAGCCTGGCTGCTGGGAGGAGTGCATAGGTGGCGGTGGTCCTGGGGGCCCAGTCATTTGGGTGCCAGGATGCAGGGCTTGAGGAGGAGGTGAGGATACATGGTTGGGCTGGTTCACTGGGGGTCCCCCAAAACCCTGTCCAAGCAGTAGTGGACCAGTCATCGAAGGCATCCGAGGACCCCCGGAAGCTGGGGGGGTGAAGCTGGAAGCCTGTAGTGGGGCAGATCGTTGGGGAGGCTGGGCCCCAGAATGACCCTGGGCCTGGCTAAGGGGAGCAGCCTGGCCCTGAGGATAGGAGCCATACAGACCAGAGTTGGGGAAACTTCCTGAGGCCAGTGACGTTGGTGGTCCTGAGAAGTAGAAGAGGTAGAGTCAGAATCCCAATATTCTGCCTCCTTGTTCAGCAAATCACTTCCCTTTCCACATAAGAGAGGCAGGAATGACTGTCCCATCTGCTATGGCTCAGAGGCACAAAAAATAAAAGGGACTGAGGTATACCCTCACAGCCTGATGCTTCTAAAAAAAATGGAAACGGTAACATTCCTGTGGTCACAGCTACTCACCATAGCCCAGCCCTGAAGGGGGAGGGGCTGGGGCCACAGCGCCACTGATCTGCATTCCAGCCAGCTGGGCAGTCACCTGTGCACTTGTAGGGGGAGGGCCATAGGGCTGAAGCACAGTTGGCTGGCTGACCACAGGGGCCAATGGGGCTGACCCAAATGGCTGAGACCCAGGGAGCCTGTGAAGAGAAGAAAGGCAGTAATGACTAGTGGGCTGGGACACCCTTCAAAGTTAACAAGAACTCTATATCATACAGGAAACTATATTGTTTTACAGTATCTTATTCTCATCCTGGGCTCTTTTTCGGCTTCATATTTTTGTATATTTGCAGATAAATTACATTCCTGATGATCTACACTGTGATTATTCATGACAAATCTCGTTTGTGGTTCACTCCACAAACCAAGCACCCTCAGATCAAATATTATTTACTCTGCTATTTAGATTGCCACCTCCTCTGCCTCAATCCTTTGTTGACAAATCACCTCAGTTTTATAATCAGAAGCCCTGAAGGAAATGAAAGGGAAGGTGCACAGAAGCATTAACACAATAGGCACCTAATAAATGTAGGATCAAACAAGTGTCGTTTGACTGTTTCATTTTTAAACCGAAATACTTATTAATTTATCCTGGGAAAGGTATCAGATCTGTAAGATAAGAGGAGCAGGTCAGCTAAGTTTGGCATTCTGTACTAATCAGAAAGATGATGCTAACTCTACCAAAAAAGGACTAGAGAAACAGGACATAAACCAGGTAGCCTTCTAGCTGAGTCTAACTAGCAAAGCCTCATTACTTGGTTACATTAGCTATTTTGGACAGTCCCATGGTATCAGATGCCACATTAAAATATAAATACAAAATCATTCCAATACCACTGCATACCAACTAGCAACTGAATTGGTGTTTTACAGTGATATTACTGCAGAAATCTATGACATTGATTACTATATATAACAAGCTCTTTCTGGGATTTCAAAAATGAATCAAATTCTTCGCAACAATAGTTTGTTACACTGAAATTCTGACATATCCTTCCCGTTTATTTTGTCTCTACTGAATAACTGGTACTTTATTATATTTGGTCAGCTTCTATTAGTTCTGTAGTTTAACATTTTTCATTCATTCATTCAACTTGTATTTTCTGAGTGTTGGGCTAGTGAACCTTAGCTCCCTAAGCTCTTTGTTGGGGTTTGCAGTTTTTGTGTTCCACAGCACCAAACATACTGTTGGCCCCATGGCAGATGCTTATAAATCCTTGATAGAATAATTATATTCCACGGTTTTACTCCATTAATATGGGTAATACGATCAACTATCCAATGATATTGTCACATGCCCTACTAACAATAAACCACCATCTGTATATGTATCTGTATATAGCTTTACAACTTATAAAACATCTCTAAGTACTTTAAAGAAATCTTCACAGCAAAATAATAAGGAAGACAGAGTGGATAAAAACTAAGACATTTAAGAGTATAAGTGGTAGACCAACCTAGAAATAGAGCCCAGACCTGATTCTTAGTCCAATGTACTTCACTTTAAAATTGTGAAATAGTCTACGGCCATGTTACCCTGAACAAGCCCGAACCCATCTGATCTCAGAAGCTAAGCAGGGTCGGGCCTGGTTAGTACTTGGATGGGAGACCACCTAGGAAGACCAGGTGCTATAGGCATAATAAATAAAAAATAAGGGATTGTAAGCTGACACGGTCCTTGCAATCTGTAAGGTCAACCAAGGGTTGCCTCGCCTAAAAAAAATTAATTAATTAAATTGTGAAATATAACATATAGAAAAAATACATAAAATATATATGTACTGTTGAATAATTATAATATAAATACCTATGTAACCAAAACCAAATCAAGAAATAGAATAAACTAGCACTCCAAAGCCCTGTGTGCCACTCCTCTATACAACCTTCTTCCTTCTCCCTGAGGTAACTACTTTCCTAACTTCCTAATGATCACTCTCTTGTCTTTAAAACAATATGGTTTAGTTTTGTCAGTTTTTAAACTTTTGTAAACAATCTCATCATACATTCTCTTTGGATTTTGCTTCTTTTGTTCAAACATATGTTTATGAAATTCATCTATTCTGTTGCACACAGCATTTCCTTTCATCACTAAATATTATTCCACTAAATAAACATGCTATGATTTACTTAAGCATTTTAATGTAGATATTTGGGTTTTTCTGATTTTTGGATTTTAAAAACAATGTTGCTATTAACACACATACATTTAACTTGTTTATATATACATGAGTTTTTCTAAGGCATATATCTATGAATGAAATTACTGGATTCAATTAGAACATACAATTCCAAATTATTTTCCCAAAGTAGTTATACTAACTTGCATCTGACCACCAGTGAATAAGAGTTCCTGTTACTCCATATCCTCAGCAGTATTTAGTATTGTCAGAGTTTTTAATTTTGCCAATTTGATACATAGGAGAATCTTGTTGTGGTTTTTAATTTGTTTTTTCATTACTTATGAGGTTAACAGCTTTTTTTAAAATTTGTTTTTCAGTTACAGTTGCCATACAATAAATTAATTTCAGGTGTACAATATAATAATCAGATATTTATATATCTTACAAAGTGATCCCCAATAAGTCTAGTACTTACCTGATATCACACGTAGTTATTACCATATTATTGACTATATTCCGTATGCTGTACTTTATTCCCCATGACATTTTTTAAAAAATTTTTTTAGGCGAGGCAAACCTTGGTTGACCTTACAGATTGCAAGGACCTTGTCAGCTTACAATCCCTTATTTTTTTTTTATGCCTACAGCACCTGGTCTTCCTAGGTGGTCTCCCATCCAAGTACTAACCAAGCCCGACCCTGCTTAGCTTCCAAGACCAACTATGGTGGAAATAACCCAAATGTCCATCATTGGATAAATGCATAAACAAAATGCGGTAACATATCCATAAATGAAATACTACTTGGCCATAAAAAGTAAAGAAATACTGACATGCTACAATATAAACATTGAAAACATTATGCTAAGTGAAACAAGTCAGTTACAAAATAACACATGGTATGTGATTCCACTAGTATGAAAGTCCAGAATAGGGAAATCTATAGAGACAGAAAATAGATTAGTGGTTGCTTAGGGCTGGGGAAGTAGAGGATTGAAGGAATAGCTACATAAGGGTAGCTACTTAGCTAAAGGATATGGTGTTTCTTCTTGATGTGACAAAATGTTCTAAAATTGATGGTGGTAATGGTTGCATATATCTATGAATGCATTAAAAACCACTGAATTGTACACTTTAAATTCACATGATATGTGAATTAAACTTCAATGAAGTTTTTTAAAAAAATCCAATCAAATAAAATTGCCCTAAAACTTCACATTCCCCTCAAGCTTTTGCCCTTTTTAGCCAAACATTACAAAAGAATTGGTCCACACTCTGTCTCTACTTCTTTACTATTTCTCTATCTAAAGCTCTTTCTTTCTATCCCTTAGTTTTCTCAAGCAGGGCCTATACATGGTAAACTCTCAGTCTTCGTCTGAAAATGTCTTTATTTGCTCTCTCTTTTAGCTAGGTACATAATTCTACTTTGACACTTATATTCTCTAATGCTTTCAAGGTACTATTCTACTATCTGCTCTCCTCTAATAGTCTCTATTTATTCTAATCACTATTGTTTTTCTTCTGAGAATCTCTTATGGACAGGATTGAGGGAGTATGGTTATTGCATATTTGCTTCTGGAAGATATTCCAATGATATTACCACCCAAGATCAAATTTTTTTAAAAAGCTTTGAGATATAATTTTCATATCATCAAATTCACTTCCTCTAAGTGTATAATTCGACAATTTTTAGTAATTTATAGTTGTGCAACCATCACTAGAATCCAACTTTAGCACATTTTCATCTTTCCAAAAAGATCCCTTGCATCCATTTGCAGTCCCAAGACCTTTTTTTTTTTTCCCACTTATCCACAGCCAGCCCAGGAGAAACAGGATTCCTTATTATCTACCTCTGCCAGTGTGCAGACTTTTTTTTTCTAGTCTATCTGTTCACTAAAGGTGCAGCCTAGGTCCAGACTTCATAAACAAGGTCTCCATGCCAAACCTCAGCTCAGAAAAGCCCAAAGATTCATCCCTATCCCCAGTACCTGCTTAAACTTAAGTCCCCAGATTCTCAAAATGATAATTCCTACCCTTCTCCACATGCAGTCACAGTGTCAGCTTACCACTCTCATTTTCGGTTCCCTTTTCGTCTCTAGCACTTGAAGGTTCACTTTCTTTCTTTTAAGCTTGATTACGCACTTGGGAAATTTTTTTCTTTCTATTTCCTCTCTTCTTTCTAGATGTTCATTGCAAAAGGGTTTTCGGGTTATATTAATCTACTACTCAGCTGAAACTCTTTGACCCATTCCAACTAAACAGTTGTCTTCACTGAAACTACATTTGTCAGTGATGCCGAACCTTGCCAAACCCAACAGTCATTAGTCGCAACAATTTTCAGTCCACACCTTACCTTTCAGCAGCAAATGACAAAGCCAATTCCTTACTCTTGCTTTCCTTAAATTCTTTCATCTAGTTTCAGGATGCCACACTCTCCTGGCTCATCTCTCACCTCACTACTGCTCTTTCTCATTGTGTTTTGATGGCTTCTCTTCTGATTTCCTTTTAAATGTTGCTAAGCTCCAACATTCAGTCTTCAATTCTATTCTTTACTATCAATGCTCACTTTCTAAGTGATTTTATCTAGTCCCATGGCTTTAAATAATAATTCTATATTGAAGACCCTCAAACTTATATCTCCAGTCCCGACATCATTCCTCAGCTACATATTTGTATATATAACTGCCCGCTTGAACATCTCTATTTGGTAGCTCGTAGCTTTTTATTTTTATTTCTATATATTTCAAAATGTGCTCTGCCATTGTCACTGGAAGTCTTTCTACTGGCAGCTTTCTTAAACCTGTAAGATACAAAATAAAACTCTTCATTTTTGCCCTGAGAATCTGCTTCTTCTCAAATATTTCTCATCTCAGTCAATAGCACCCAGTTTCTTAAGCCAACAAATTAAGAGACATCCAGAATTCCTTTCTCTTAACTTATATCCAATCCTATTGACTCTACTTTCAAAATGTATCCCAAATCTGACTACTTCTCACACCTCTACCACTACCATCCTAAACCAAACCAAGATTATCTCTTACCTGAACTACTGCAACCACCTAACCTCCACACTCCCTCAACCCAATCCATAAGCAACTCTATTCTTAAATCCAACAAAGTAACTTCTTTTTTAAAATAAGATTTTTTTTTAATGCTTACAGCACCTGGTCTTCCTAGGTGGTCTCCCATCCAAGTACTAACCAGGCCTAACCCTGCTTAGCTTCCGAGATCAGACGAGATTGGGCACGTTCAAGGTGGCATGGCCATAGACAAGATATTTTTTAAAAATCAGAGAATTAGGGAGAATATATGTGAAATTTTTTAAAGTAATATTTTTAGTAATCATATTTGTGATAGTGTTAGTATTGTTGTACTGTGAGTACTATATATAATAAGGGATAAAATAAATGACAAATTGTGGCATATTCCGATATTCTAATACCATCATCCCCATGGCCTTAAGAACCAAGATTGCTGGTGTGGAAGAAAAGAGATATAGATATAATACAGAGGTCAAGTAAAGGCTTTGTAGTCTTGAATTTGAATTGGAAGTACAAATTTAAACTAATGGGATATTTTATATTTAATGTATGTAAATATGTATTTCTCAGCTATATCCATTGAAAAGGCCTAGACAGTGACCAATCAGGTAGCAATAAACAATCCCAGTGTCCAGATTAGTAAAAAAATATCATTTCTCACCAACAATATAAAGGATTTCTTGGAAAAAAATAGCTAATTCCTAGTCTGGGGCATAAAATGTATAAGATAAGCTTGAATATGTTATCATACCTAAAGATTACTAGGATCATGTCAAAAAGACCTAAAGATTACTAGGATCATGTCAAAAAGACTCAGTCAACAAAGAAGCTCCCATTGTTCAAAGATGGGACATTTTCAACTTCACTAATGATAATTACAGTGGATTGAAACTCATCAAATATTTTTAAATCCATAAATTCATAATGATATTAAAAAGCAGTGGTCACCTTCAGTAGATATCAGAGGACCAATTCATTCCCTTGTAAACTAGTAAATAAAAGTAGAGAATCAAGCATTTATCTTACACTAATTGCACAACTGGTAACCAAATAACAGATGACGAGAACTATCAAAAATGGTATTCAAAGGAATAAATGAAAAAAAAAAAGAATCAGAGATCACCATATTGTAGACTCAACAAATTAATATATATATATATGCATTAGGCATCAACAACTGCTGACATCAAAAACAGAGAGCGCAAGATATTATGTGCCTCCTATGGTCTTACCCCACACTACCCAAAGGGATCAAACCTGAATCCAGTCTCCAGATCCAGTAACTAATTTTCAGGAAATACAGAGAAAAGAGGAACACATTAAACTGTAACATGAATATATAACCAGGAGAATCTAGACTGTGGGAAATTCTACAGGTCAACTGACTTGGGTTCTTCAATGATAAATATTAAGAAAAAGAAAGAGAGGGAACCTATAGACTTAAAATACACATCAAGTTTTTTTTTCAATAGGCAAAACTAAACTGTGGTGTCTAGGGACACACCTTTAAGTGTAAACTATTTTTAAAAACATAGAAAAAGGGGTGGCTCCACACTGTAGTGGTTAGCACGTCTTCTTTACACGCAGAAGGTCCTGGGTTCACACCCCAGGTAGAACCACGGACCACACTCCAGGTGCGCCAGGCCCCAGGTGCATGCCCCGAGCATGTGGGAGGAGACACCCCACCTTCAGAGATCCAGTTCTTTAGGGGAAACAGCAACATCCATAGGTCAGGGGTGGAAGTGGGGGTGGAGTTAAAGAGGGGGGAAAAACACAAAAATAATGATTACTATAAAAGTTAGGATAATGGTTATTATGGGAGGAGGCAGAGAGTTGTGACTGAACTGGGGCACATGCAAGGGGCTTTTGGGATGTTTAGCAGAGTTCTACTCCTTGATCTGGGTTGTAGTTACAAGGGGGGTCACTTTATAAGAATTTAGTAAGCTATACATTTGTCTTGTATGTTTTTTTGTATGTGTTTCATATTACAATGAAAATATCCATTGCATAAATAAACTAATAAATAAGAACATTACTCCCCAGCTTAAAACCTCCAAAGGCATCTCGCTGCAACAAAAATCAAATTTAAACTTCTTACTATGGCCTACAAAGCACTGCATGATATGGCTCCTGCCTATGTTTCTACTTTATCTCCTCACTCTCTACTCTGCTAGTCATTCTGGTCTTCCTGCTCTTCCTCACATCCACCAAATTAATTTCTCCATCAGGACCTTTGCACTTGTGCCCTCTAAGACACTCTTCCCCTAGATCTTTGGATTGCTCCCTTCATCAATTCACTGAGGTTTCAAATATCACTTCAAAGATGCTTTCCTTGACCAATATATTTAAAACGGCTCCCTATCTCCTCACCAGTCATTCTCTATATCCTTATTCTGTTTTATTTTTTATTTATATTTATCTACTTGTTATTTTCTGTGTACTCCATTAGATTATAAGCTTCATAGGGGCAGAGACTTGGTCTGTTTATTTAATGCTTCATCTCCAACCTCCAGAATAATGTCTGACACATAATAGTACAAAATAAATATTTTTTGAGTGGATGAATGAATGAATGAATGAATTTTCTCTACTGCTTCTCAGAGTATTCCCACACACAGGGTTAGGGAGAGCTTCTCAAGCTCTTTTCCAGGCTTATATTCAATGTTAAAAAATGTACGCTCTGAACACCCCACCCAAAAAAAGTCAGAAAGTGACTCTTCCATTACCACACACCCTAAACACAGTTATATTTTATTCACTGCTTATCAAAAACAAACAACACTCTAACAGAGATTACTGCTCTCCTTTAATGGACTTCTATTCAAAGACAGGGATTTATTGGATCACACACCACCAAAGTTTTCATCATCAATGTGAGCATCTTTCCTTTTATAACTGGTCACACCCAAACTTAACCAATAAATCCTACTAAGTGCCCAATCTAGAGAAAAAGGGAAGTCAAAGGAGATAAATAATTCTGAAATCTCTTCTTCCCATTACCCGCTTAGGGTAGGCTCAGTAGGATTAAAATAATTATTGAAGATGTATGTCCAGTTAAGGAAAAAAACAAGTTCACAGAAAGAAAAAGAATATGCAAAAGAACCCAGGTACTAAGATAGGTCAATAATCCAGAGTGACATTAGCAGCACCTGTAACCTAGAAAAATGAAAACAAGATACAAAAAGATGGAGAGAAGAGAAAAGGGGATATAAGAGAAAGAAAAAAAAGATAAGGAATAGGGCCCTTACAAATCTTAATCCTTCCAGTTTTCATCAGATCAATTTTAGGTTGACCCAAGTACATACCTCTGCATCTGAATAGTGGAGCTAGGCCCATTCTGTACATCTCCTTGGCCAAACTGGCCATATGCACCCTGGGCACAAGGGGCTTGTGCTGTTGAGGCTGGAGGTGCCCCTGAAGAAGGTGGGGCTCTTGACACACCTGAGTGTAAAGGACAAAAAACTAAGTGATTGGGAAATAACTTTCTCCCCTACCCTAAGCAAGGAATGTAAAGCAAGAAATCAACAGGCTCAGACCTTAATTGGCCCAATACCACACCTTTGTAATGAAAAGGACACCACCAACATGCAAATCTGCTTACAGCAGATTCTGAACACTGATGCCCAGCCAGAGAGCCTCCACTCTCCTAGACAGGAACACTACGGAGTGAAGCTGTAGTCAGAACCACAAGAACATAGGCCCTTTCTATGATCACCATTCACTCTCACTCAATCCAGGACAGTCTAATGTTCTTATGCTAGACAAAGTCATTTATTTTAAGGAAAAGGATCCTAGTCCAGAAATTAGAAACTTAGAGCTTATGTGAGAAAGGTGACACAGAAGACCAAGTAACATACTGCACTAGGTTGTAAAGAAAGGCACCTCTTGGGGATACTATTCTGCCAACCTTCTCTTCATATATTCTACTTATCCTAACTATCTTCTTTTCATTCACTTCTAAGTGGTGACTCTCCCAAAAGCACATGGCTCAGGAGTGTTCCCATAGGTAGGAGACTTTGTTTCACCCAACAGTTCAGTCAGGACAGTTGGCCTGCCTTCCCATTAGTGTTGCCACCTACGTCTTCACAAAAGCTGAACTCCATCCTTTCCGCTCATCAGAGTGGCCATCAAAGCTACTTCTGCTATACCCAGCCATCCTTACCATATGAAGTGTAAGAAAAAAGCAATTAGTTACTTGGCACATCACTTTGGAAATGTTGCTTACTCCTGTTCAAACATTTGTTTTCTTTTGCTCTGCCCTCAGTAGAGATTAGACACTACAGAACCTGCCTATAGAAACATGATTAATCTGAACCTACTCACTAGCCATCATAGAACCAGATTTGTTTTCCTCTCAATAACAAAGCTTCCTCTTGAGGCAATGCCAAACTCCATTTTGATAAGCCAGGACTTGACAGATCAGAGGTGGACTCTGTCCAGCCAAAGTCCCAACCCAGAGTAAATCTCTTCCAGAGACCTGAAACCTAATCTCACCCCTCCATGAATTTTTTTTCAAAGTTATAATTAAATTGATAATGCTTCATTCCCTAAATCTCACCTATGCCTCCTTGGTGCCTTCTTTTTCCCATATCCCTTCATAAAATTTACTCTCTTAAAAAGCATAAAGCATCTGGCATACCCTAAGTCCTCAGGTTGTTTAACCAAAGATCGACTGCTAACCATTTTCTAAAAAGTCCTTGTGGATAGTCTGTAGAATACCAGCTGCTCTTCTTGAGGCAGCACCAGATTAAGTCTTCTCTTATTGTGTTGGTATTACAGAGCCTCTAAGAGGCAAAGGAAACTCAAGCAAAGGGAGAAGAATGATATCAGCAGAAAGATAAGAGAGCACCAAAAATTAGGCACACAAACACAATACTTTTCATCAATGAACTAGCTCTCCTAAGTCCCAGAGTCATTTATGGATAAAACCATTAGTCTAATAAGAGGCATTATCAATATACATGAAGAACAAGTAATTTCAGGTAGTCGTTCGGTCAACAGGAAATATTCAATCCTGGTCAGAGGCTCTGTAGGACCTGTGACCACAACCCTTCCATCCATCTCTGAACAATGCTTCCAGATAAGGCTACACAGGGTGACACCCACAGGAAATAAACTGCCATTGAACATGGAAGATGTGCTACTACTAGATGTCTTAAGGCAGAAATATAGTCACCTTACATAAAAACAAGGAGGGGCAGACTGCCCACAGAGCTCTCAGTGACCAAGAGCCAGATTCATGTTCTCCAATCCCAAACACTCCAACTCTCTAGGCAACCTAGGTAGGGCAATACAATCCAACCACTGATTACCCTCTTTTGCTCAAAGGAAATTTGGAAACATACCTGGGGGAGGTGTTTGCTGATAGCCTGGTACTGGCCCATTGTAGGCTCCATAAGGGGTGGGAGGGGCTGTGGATCCCGGTTGCCCACCATAGCTGGATTGATGATGATACCCTGCGTAGACAGGCTGTGGCTGCCCATATGGCGGCACAGGTGGAGCTGACTGGTTGACATTCATTATGAGAGCATCCCTGACTTTGTCTCACCTATTAGATGAGAAAGAAGAAAGAAATTAGTCAAAATCAACTTTCTAAAGAAAGAACAACTATTCAGGGTAGGAAGTAGAGATAAAAAAGAACTGACCTTATCAGGCGGTGATCAGCCTAATCATTCCCACACTACCACAGGATCTTTGTAATTTTCTGCCCCAGCCAGTAGCCAGATTACATCCTCAGAGTAAGGACTTTGTTACTGTGAACCCCATGTTTTGTTATTGCCAAGAGGGTATAAATTTCAAATTCTGATAGGCCCACTGGAATGAACAGCAGCCTCCACTCCCCAGTGGAATGGAATGACACACAAAGAGACTTGCCACTGATGAACTACTGTGATATTAGAGGTAAAGGAAACGATGTTCCCGCTTTCCATTCATTCACTCTAGCTTCCATTCATTCAATAAACACTGAATACCCTCTAGTGTGCTAGCCATTTTTAATCACTCAGGCTACATGTCTAAAACAGATCAGGTAAATTCCCTCCCCCTCAAAAGACAAATTTTAGAGTAACTGTTAGAGAAATGACATTCTTTGGCTAAACTGCAGTAATCAAAATGCTATTCTATCTCCAGCTTTCCCACCAAAAGACTGTATAGACCTTAGAACTGAAACATAAAAATCACTAAATGTACAGGACACCTGAAAACTCTAGCAAGGTACCAGATTAGAACTGAGAGCAGGCCAGGCACAAAAACTTCTCTCAAAAACCTAGAGAAAGAGTTCCAGGAGCAGCAGCAAAGTTAGATTTCATGGAGAAAAAAATCGTTCACCTTATCCATCAAGCAGAGAGACTATAAGTATTCCAAATCCCAATGCACTCCTCCAACTCTTTTTCTGTTCTCCTCATATGCTTGTCATGAATCTAGGCCACCATCGAAATTAATATAATCTGGCCCAGCAACAAAGGAGTGAATTAGGGGGCCTTTTCTCGGTCCTTCCGAGAAAACGACTACCTGCTCACATCTACTCTAAACAGCCTTATCATCCCAACTATCCTATTGGCAGAAGGGACGTGGAACAATGAGCTCTCCTCTTTCATCTTGACTAGAGAAAAGTTGAGTCCTGGACTGGAACTCTTTAGACTGAAAGCCATCTCAGGCGTTGTTTTTTCAAATCTTAAGCCTTAAACAGGTCACAACACTAAGCTTGACCGATGTTCCCCTTCCTTTCATCTTCCTAAAGTCAGTGTGGGGGTGGGGGTGGAAGTGGGAGGAAAGTAGCTTCTTCTCCAGGAAGTTTGGAGCAGGCTCAACTTTTCACTCCATTCTGTGCAGACGGTCGAGGGTGACAACCCAGGGGGCGGGACAAGCTTCCTAAAACTCTGAAAGTGGTCGAACTGTGGAAGCTGGGAGCGCCGGGTATCAAGACCAAGAAGCCAAGTCAGCTTCTTGGGCCACGATGAGCGAGAGGGGTGATCCACTAAGCATGGAGATCGAGCGTCTAGCGCCCTTCAACAGGCTCGGGGGAGGAAGCGGGAGCCGGACTCTGGGCCGGGAGATGAAAAGGGAGGGTAGTAGGATCTAAGACTGACTGTGGATGCGTGCGGTGAGGGTCTCTTACCAGACCCCGCCCCCGGGCTCCTCCCTTCCTTTTCAGACCGATCCTCGATCTGGCCAGTGACACCCCGGCCTCTCTTCTTTCCTGCTCACCAACCTCCCGATGCCACTCCTCACCCGGCTCCAGATCCAGGTTCGACTTCGTCCCTAACGTCAAGGCTCCCAAGCTCCACTTCCGGTTCCGAGTGGGCTGGCGCGTCGCCCCCGGAAGTTCCACCCCCACGTTCCAGCGCCGGGCCACTCCTTCTGCCACGTCTGCAATAGGCACGCGCCCAGGAACCCGGATGCCGCGCATGCGCCACTTTCTTCTCCCGTAAGAGCCGTTTCCTGGAAATCCCCGTAGAGTCTTAATCCTTTCTGCGTCTTTTTCTTTCCCCTGGTGTCCTGATAGTTTTATGGTCCCATCAGCGGAAATGCGATTGAGAGGGCTAGGTCAAACTATCTTTAGTAACGACCCTTCAATCAGCCTATGACATGTCACCTCTGACCTAGAGTCCTGTAGCCACTTC